AAATCTGATTATTTCAATATCCTGATTTTTTTAAATTAAATTACTTGCAAACTTTAAGGCTTTTTTAGGAGTAAGAAAATTTGTTTTACACCATGGTGGTAACCTGGTGACTCTAGAGTGTCACTCAGCCAGTTAGGTTGCTTCTTGGATAGGACTATATTTCATAATTCTTATGTTTCCTCCAGAATCTAGAATAGTGTTTTGCACAGAGTAGGCATATCTTTTAAATCTAAATTTGCTTTTAACAAATTACACAATTAATTGTCAGAGATTGACATACTTTTAACAGCCAGAAGGGACAGTTGACAGTAGGAAAGACAGGACCTCTAAAAAATGAGCCAGTTCTGTCTATTTCTGTACTTTTTCACAATAGCATCCTGGTTTGTGGGGAAGTATGACCAAAAAGTTCACCATCTTCTAACCATCTTCTAAGAGGAGCAGTATATTAAGCTTATTTTAATAAATATTTTTAATAATGATAACAACCTTCAAGGAAAGATTACAGCATATGTTACTGTGTGTCTTTAAAAAAAATTTAATAATACATGTACGGAAAATAGGATAATTTAGTCAGGCTCCCTCAGCTCAGGTTTGATTGAGGGTCAAGCAGCACATTTCTTGTAAACAAGTTGTGTGTGGGTGGAGTTAGTGCACATGTGCACCAATGTATCTTTTTAGTTAATTGCTATTGTGTGTTCTTCAGTTTGTGAGGCAGAAGCTGGCTGACAGAGCTCGCATCTAAAAATAGAACATGTTTACTCTGCTGGCAGCTGCTTAGTTTTTCTTTGGACTTTGCCAATAGCAGTTGAATTTCTGAGTTTCTCCTTTGTACTGCCTAGCTCTTAGATGTGTGTGTGCTGAATAAAGGCTAATCTTTCTTCAACCAAGGCTCCAAGGAACTTTTTGCTGGTTACCTAGCCCATAGACCTGCACGTGAAGGGTTTGTGAATGGGCTTGAGGGGTCTATGAGCTCCAGCTCTACAATATACTTGAAATGTTTTCGTACAAAATGGTTAACATTTTAAAAGTTTATTAATATTATTCAGTGTTAAGTTTGGCTATATGGAAGATTTATCTATAGAATACCTTATTCTCCATTGCTGTTTACAGTGTTGTTGCATTCTACAGTGTTGTTTAAATGGAGCAACACTGGGTTTAAGAACAGTGTTTACCACAGTTGGGTAAGCTAAAGAACTTTAGTAAGATGAGATATAAATGTCATATTGAAAGCAAACTTTAAATATACTTAAGATTAAAAAAATTTATTGTCCTATATCTAGAGTATGCACTATATGACTGCATATGTTCATGCTTACAATTTTGAACACTTGTTTAAAATTTGATTTCTCATCAACACTTTTAGAGTAAGTTCAGGTAATTTTGCTCTCCCTTTAACATTCCCTGCAAATCCTCTTGCTAGAAACAACAGATTAAAACCAGACTGGCAGTTAGGGAATGGTTTCTATTGCAACCATGTGTGTCAGAAGAAAGGATTAGGTTTCCTTGTCCAGGAACATCAAGGGGAACCTCCACCTCTGCAGACACACCTCTATTCCTCAGTAATGGAGAATTTATATCTAGCTAGATTTAAGTGGGATAAGGGAAGAGTTTAAATCCACTTTTCACTGTAGTAGTATAATCAGCCCTCAAGTCTCAAAAGTATCCAATTTTGTTTCTCTAATTTAATTCTAAGTGTCAGGTTGGTATCAGATGCTAATCAAGGTAATGGAGAGTTGGCCTACACATTTATTCACTTAAAGAAGAATTTAGCAGACTGCAAAGATGAGACAGCAATTGTATTCAAAACTTACTTAAAGCACAGTCCACTCACCCTTGACCCTTCATCTATATTGAATGTTTTTCAAATATAAAGGAGGAGATTCCATAATGGAAGCAAACCTTTCTCTTCATAATTATGGGGATACAGCCATAGTTCTCTGGCCAACCCATCTTATGCTGGACCCATTAGAAGGACCCATACAAAAGTTAGGCACATTCTAGCCTTGAGTGAGATAACATCCAAGAGTCATTAAAGTATATGGGAAACTAATAATGATTTGGAATTTTTTTTTCACCTTTGACTTAATTCTACTTCTTAAAATCTGTCTTTTTATAGCTGGTGAAACTGGTCCACAGATATTAAGTACTTTGATCAAAATCACACAAGAAATAGGAGCAGGAATAGAAAGAACCTCAATCTTCAGACAAGTGTTCTACTTTAGTGGACACCATTGTAAAGCTGAAGAAGCAAAGGCTAGAGCTGGTCCAACTGGGGAAAGGTTTTACATAAAGCCATATCCTCGTGTCAGGCTTCAGAGTCAGAACAAGTAAATGTCCAACTTTTAAAAGGCTGATGCTCTCATCTACACCCCCAACATTAAAAGATGATGATCTACACCCCCAAACATTAGAAGATGCTGTCATTTCCTAGTAGTTTTAGGGAGAGTGCAAATTATACTCCTAGCATCATCTTACTGTGAGAAAAATAATCTTCTGATTATCATGTATTTAGGAAGGTTACTTAGGGGTTTTTTTGTGGGGGGTTTGCAGCTGGTGGTATGGGAATCTGAACCCTTGACCTTGGTGTTTTCGGTACTTAGGGGTTTTAAGAGAGGCATCACTATCCCTCTCTTTCTAGAAGATGCCATCCAACACAGTCAAGAGAAAGACTAAGTGACGTGAATAGCAAAATGGGATTTTTCTCAGAGTACCTTTTCCTAAAAATTAAGGGGCAAGGCCACAGTTTTGTGTTGCTAGATTCAACTTCTTGTCATAAGTGCTTTGTTTTCTACTCCACAACAATGACGACATTTTGCTTGGGGTTAGGAAAAGGTGAAGGGAGGGAATGGGTGGGTAGAATCAAAGCAGATACAAGTGAATAATGTACTGATATTCAGAAAACTGACTTTATTACTTGTAAAGACCTTAGTATGCAGTACCAAGAGGAGGACTGATTATATAGAAATGTTATAGGCTGTAGGATTCCCATTCATATTTAATGTTTTCTTTCTGTACCCTTTTTCAAACTACTGTTTCAGTCTTGGAGAACAGGTCTTTAAAGAAGATAGAGAATTCTTCCCTTAAGCATAGCTCTACAACAGAATAATTTTGGAGAGTTGTAAGAGACTATTTTCAGTGTCCCCCATACCCACTATTCATCCTCAGTCTTAGGACATGTGTTCCATGGAGGAAATGGAACCTAAAAATTAGCAAAATGAAAGTTTTGAAAGAGTATTGTACTTTGTTATCTCTCTTTGCATTCTGTATCTTTTTCAGATGGTATGGCCCTAAAGACAATATCTATATGCCATCTGCCCACTTTTTCTATTTTCAAATCATCCTTTGCTCCCAGCTACTTCATAACTGGAGTGAACAGACTTTCTACTTCCAAGTTTATCTTTTACAAAAAAAAATTTTAGCAAGGTCGCCAAAAAGCTGGTTGGCATGGCTCTTAGATAGGCTCTTTTCTGTGTTGTCTGTGTAATCAAACTACATTAAATTTTTTTCCACACCCTAAGTACTTGGTGTGATTCTAGGATCTTATCTTGCCTACAGAAAACCAAACATGCTTAGATCTTGATCTTTCTAAAAACAATATGAAAAGATATTTTGATCTCTAAAAATGGAGTAGTAACCTCAGTGTTTCAAATTTCATTTCAGCTAATCAAGATTCCATTGGACTTCTCCAAACCACTGACAATCACAATCTCCTGTTTTTCTTCACTTTTTCTCCTTAATGAGTAGAACTGAGAATGAACTTTGAGAAAATCTGCATGCTAGCTTCAGTGCTGATCTCAGTGAACCATTTAACTTGCATGTGCCTCTTTTTCCTTATATGTAAAGTGAGAGGAAAATAGGGTTAGATGACATATACTGTAACTCTTGTGTTTCTCAACACTAGTTTCTGACTTGTCCCGAATTAGAGTCATTTAGATTTACAGAAATAGGTATTACACTCAGGATCCGCATATCAGAGCATATCCACTGACCCCATGTCCATGGAACATACTAAGATGCAGATAGTGAAAATGGGCCTTAAAACTTTTCTCAAGATGTGCTCCAGGCAGCTGTGCTCAACCAAATAAAAATGGCCTTACTTGTCCTGGCATGGCAGGTTTAGGTTTATGAAAGAGAGAATATGAAACTTCTCAGCCAATAGTGAATGCAAAGTGGCTCTCCACAGATCTCTTTTGAAAGTGTAAGTAGAAAGAATATCCTGACCTCTTTTCATTCTCTCTAGCTAGTTTAAATATCAGTTCCTTTAGATCCCAACTGTATTGCTTTCTATTTTTTTCTCAGAAATGTGCGTGTTATTTTGTAGTTGTCAATTACAATTATTTGTATGACAGCTGCTGGCCTAAGAGTTCTAGGAGAGGGCCACCTAACAGGTGCTATGGCCTTTAGGGGAGGAACAGAGCCAATGTCCACCCACAGCTTGGCAGGTGTGGAGAACAAGGGGGGTGGGTGTGGGAGAGGGATAAATACCCTTGCCTCGCTCTCCTCTCACTCACTGATCTTCTGATGTTTTGGTTCCTCCCATTTGCTGAACTCAGGGCAAAGGAACATGATTTATCAGGTCCATAAAGATCGGTCCCTCCTCCCACTCTCCAGAAGCATAAAACAGGATGAAATATGGTAGACAGTGGAATAGGAAAGTCTAATGGAAATATTCAGTACACAGCTACTGAATATCTATTCACAGAACTAGAAATATAAGTAAAATGTGAAAAAAAATTAAATCATCTTAGGATAACTTTCTAACCAGGCATTAAACTTCTTGAAGGCAAGATCTCTGTCTTCATCTCTGACTTAGCAGAGTACTTGGTGCACCAAAGAGGGGCTCAATAAGTATTGGCAATTGATTAAATGAATAAATCACATGTGGGGGTTGGATGGAGATGTGCAGTGGGATATTTTAAAGATAGTGCAGGAAGTTAGGGAAAACATTTTTTGAGTGTAAGATAAGCCCTGTAAGCATTTTAAATTCTCTGACTTATGCTTACTTTCTTGTGGTTTGCTCTTTCCACTAAAAAGCAGAATGCATAAAATATTCTGATTAGTTGAGGATTATTACTTAGGTTCCAACTAATGTTTTATATATAAATCTAAATTACTATTCTTCCTTCATTCTCCTTCCCTTTCGGTTTGGTCAAATCCCTGTGGGAGAGAGTAGCATTCCTGTGGTGAGTAAAATAATTTCTAAAGAAATTATTCACAATGCAATTTCTGTAAACAGCATGTGAAGATACAATTTATTTCTGGATTCAGCCCTGTGCTTGCATCATCTTTCTCCTCATCATCAAGTTCTCTGTCTGCCCACATCTTTTTAAGGATTTGTCCATATGAGTTGTACATCTAAGACGGTAAACTTCCATTAGGAGGGTTGAGGCAATGGGAAGGAAGAGAGAAGAGATTGTGTTCCAGGAAAGAACACTGGACTTTATTCCCAGCCTTAACTCTGCTGTCACTGCAAAGTGACACTGGAAAGTCCTTAATTTCTGAGCCTATTATTTATCTGAAAAAGTGGGAGTGTGTGAACTAGACGGCTCTCAAGGTTCCTTCCAGCCCTTAACATATAAGCTTATGCTCCACGTAGGTATTGTATTTTTAACCCAGGGATCTCTGAGTACTTTGGAAATACACCTACAGGCTGACAGGCTGAATCAGCTACTGGGACTTGAATGATTCTTCAATTATTACACTGTGAATCTGTGGAAGACCCAGCAGCTGTGTCTTGGGTAGTCTCGTGCTGGAGGAATCAAACTGAAGTATGACTAAATTGAAGAGAGTGTTGTTGGTGAGAAAATTATTAAATAAATTCTCATCAAAGTGGGGATAAAGAGTCTATAGTATTAATTTATGCATCTTCTGGTGGTGGCAGATTGGCAGATGATTTAAGGGGAGATCCTGGAGGCAGAGTAAGATCTGGAGGAGATGAGAGAACCATTTAGTTCTAAAATTTGTCCAGCAGAGGTGCCAATACTTTTATTCATTCATATTATTCACTCATTCAAAAATCATTTAATGCATGTTTACTGCATGCCTATAAAACTAAAGGACTGAAAAGGCAAGCTTTGTGTCACCCCAGGTATCACATCTGATACTTCTTAAATGTTATCAAACATGTATCACCTTCTCTTCTTGGCTCTAGTTTCCTATTTCCCACTCTGAAACCTCAGAGATGAATGGAATTGGAAAGCCACCATTCTTTCTTCCCTCCATCTCTTCACCATTCCCTCCCTTGCTGCCATCTTCCCCACATTAATTGACCACCTTCTATTAACATGGTCCTATCTAAGGTGCTGGTGCTCCATGGAAGATTGAGATGTGGATCCCACTATGGAGAAGGTGAGTATTGCAGGAGAGATTTCTTGTAAACTTATAATACATCAGGATAGGTGTCATTCTAGAGTACGGACATGGTAGTATAAACTCAAGTCCCCCAGGTTTTAAAATACTAGCAACTAGATAGCTCATTGTGAGCCCACAAGGCCACTGATGGTGAGAATGAGGATGCACTTCTTGGGATCCCCCTCCTGGTCAATATGCACAACTCCCACACTAGCCCTGACTATGATTTTCACTTCTATTACCACTGCTAGTTATCACCTCAGTAAGAACAAGACCCGCCATGCCCAGGGCACAGGTCATAGGACATAGGACTGTGATTTCTCCTCAAAGAATCACATACCTTTAGCACTTACTTTATCCATTTTAGTCTAGAACTGCTTGGGAATCAAGGAGGGAAGGGTCCTAGCTAGAGGGTCTCTAGCTCAGGCCTTTACTATGTCAGGAAGGTCCTACTCCAGTCCTATTGCCTCTGCTGTCTCTTTTTCTAGAACATTCAATTTAGCTCTCAGATTTTGAGAACTTTCCAATTGTCTGAAACTTAACACCATGAGGTGGTGAAGTGGGATGGTGTGGAGAGATATGATGCTACACAAACATGGACTCTTGAGGGCTTGACATTGTTTTATTTATGCATCTCGCAAATACTGGGTGTCTGTGATGCCATCCACCATGCTAATTACAAAAAATTGAATAAGATACTATCCATGCTCTTTAAGATCTCAATTTAATAGGGAAGAGTGCAAACAGCAAACAGAATTTTAGAAGAAATGCCTTTGTATCAGGGAGACCTTTCAATTTCCTTTGAATCACACTTTATGGGTAGTCCTAGCCTCACTACTTATTATTTGCATGACAATAGACAGGCTTCCTAAGTGTTCTGGGCCCCAGTTTTCTCACCTGAAAACGAGGGCAAAGGATAACAAGTTCCCAGAGTTCTTACACAGCTCTAAGAAGAGTACTCAGCTGGATCTTGAATGAGGTACTGAGTAGAATTTTGAATAGGAAAGAGGAGCAGGGTGCCCTTAGGAGAGATAACTGCATGAGCAAAGCTTGGATATGCAGATGAATAAGGTGTAAAGAAAAGTGGAAGAGAATAAGAAACTATCACATCTCTCTGCTTCCACTCTCATCCTCTTCACCATATTCTCAGTCAGTAGACAGGGTGACCCACTAAAATGTGAGTCAGATAGTAGCCACTCCTCTGCTCAAAACTCTCTAGTGCTTTCCGTGTGATTTGCAGAAAACAAACAAACAAACAAAAAAAACACAGTCTTTATTGAGACCTGTAAGACCTAAATTATCAGCATTCTCCATTCTAACTTCCCTTTCTGGCTTTTTCTGCATTGCCTTCCCCCTTCCTTGATCTGCTGCAGACACACTGGTCTCCCTACCGATCCACAGCACTTATCACCATCTAACATATTTTACTCTATTTCTCCTCCTTTAGAATGTAAGCATCATAAAACAAGGACTTTTGTCTACTTTATTCTGTATCCCCCAAATTTAGAATGTGTGTGGCTAATAACACTTGTTGAATTAATTTCCACAGTTTACAGATAAGAAAACTAAGATCAAAGAAGGAAAGCGAAGGAGGTCAATCCGCTCCTTAGGAAAGTCTGGACTAGTGAGTACAGAGATCTTTTGTATGGTAGATAGAATAATGGGCCCTGAAGATGTCTACATCCTAATCTCCAAGACATGGCAAAAGAAACTTTGTAGATATAATTAAATTAAGGATCTTGAGATGGGGAGATTATCCTGATTGATCTGGATAGCCAAATGTAATTGAGACACAATAGGGCTAGGCCTGTGAACCAAACTGACTCCATTTTCCCTGAGAGTACACTTTGTTACTTTTCCACTCAGTCATGAGACCCCCAGAGCACATGATTACCCCATGGCCCACCCTGATAAAATAAACTGAGAAAAGAGGGGAACAGATACTGAGTTGCAAAACCCCTCCCCAAGGCTTGTTTCCTGTAACTGTGAAAATTAAGTTACATATTAATCTTAAGACCCCTTTAGAAGTTCCTGCATGCACACAAAGCTTCAAGGTGAGTGCTAGAATGATCCTCCTGGGGTGATGATAAACACCACCACCTTGGGCCTACTGAGCAGGCGCAAGGACCAAAGCCCTAACTGAGCATGCACCTGTTATGCAACCATGAAGAACAGAATGTACTACCTCCAGAAGTGCAGAATGATGCTGACCTGTACCCCTTAACCCCTTGCCCCATAAAGGACTCTGAACAGCTCCCCTCGGGGTCCAAAGCCCTAACTGAGCATGCACCTGTTATGCAACCATGAAGAACAGAATGTACTACCTCCCGAAGTGCAGAATGATGCTGACCTGTACCCCTTAACCCCTTGCCCCATAAAGGACTCTGAACAGCTCCCCTCGGGGTGTTAGCTTTTCTGTAGCTACCTCTCCCCCGCCTTACCCCTCCCCACCCCTTATGCATTAAGTCTATCTCTTCTCTTAATAAAGCCTTATTTGCTTTACTGCTGGGTGCATTGCTCGTTTCTATGACTTTGGGACCCAAGAGCCTAATTTGGTAACATAATCATAAGGGTTCTTCTAAAAGGGGGGCAGGAGAGTCAGAGTCAGGTAAGGAAATGTGATGATGGAAACAGAGGTTAGAAGATGGAAGGGAGGAACCAACCAAGGAATGCAGGTGGGGGAAAAAAAGGATTGATTTCCCCTAGAGCTTCCAGAAGGAACACAGCCCTGCCAACACCCTGATTTTAGGATAATCATAAGGGTTCTTCTAAAAGGGGGGCAGGAGAGTCAGAGTCAGGTAAGGAAATGTGATGGTGGAAACAGAGGTTAGAAGATGGAAGGGAGAAACCAACCAAGGAATGCAGGTGGGGGAAAAAAAGGATTGATTTCCCCTAGAGCCTCCAGAAGGAACACAGCCCTGCCAACACCTTGATTTTAGGACTAACATAATCATAAGGGTTCTTCTAAAAGGGGGGCAGGAGAGTCAGAGTCAGGTAAGGAAATGTGATGATGGAAACAGAGGTTAGAAGATGGAAGGGAGGAACCAACCAAGGAATGCAGGTGGGGGAAAAAAAGGATTGATTTCCCCTAGAGCTTCCAGAAGGAACACAGCCCTGCCAACACCCTGATTTTAGGATTTCTTACCTCCAGAACTATAAGATAATAAATTTGTGTTGTTTTAAGCCACCAGTTAGCAGTAATTTGTTGGAGCAGCAATAGGAAACTAATACAAATTCTATTCACTGCACGTTAAGAGAAAATGCTGGGCAGGTAATGGAAGGACAGTCTGTCAATTCATTATTGAATAAATAGCTATTGAGCAACCCCTCCCCCCACCCCGTTTTGGTGGAACATTGCTCCAGATACTGTGTATAATAATATGATGTAAAGAACATAATTCCTGCACTCAAGAAGCTTACAGGCTAGCAGCTATGGCTATGGGCAGGGGGTGACAAACCCAGAATTCAAGGGGGAGGAATTCAGGTGCTTAACTTCGAGTGCCTGACTCAAGACTGATACTAAGACCCCTAGATGTAGAAGCTGGGAGCTGCCTCCCAGGGATTTGTTCCCAACAGACAATGATATTTTTTGTCCAAGCATCTGTCCACCCAGGCAGTCACATATTTTCAGTAAGCTTCCAAGACAGATTCATTCAACAATGCTTCTCACCTGAGGAAGGGAATTTAAAAGGCAACTAAGCCTGGGTTGGTGTGCTATGTTAGTACCCAAATCATCTTGACCATTGCTACTGTATTCTTTGGGTGTCTTTTGGTGGTTGGCCTAACTTCTGACCTTCTTTCTCTTGGCTTCTTCAGCTCTATTATATTTATTTATTCACTCATTTATTAATTGACTCAACCAACATTTACTATGTACATCAATAGATCTGTTTTAGCAAAGGAAAAATCACATCTTCATGTAATTTTTTTTAAAAGCAGTGGAATTAAGTGTTTCTTAATTTGTAGATTTCCAGTGTTGTTTTTTTTTTAATTTCACAAATAGAAACATATTTTTTGAGAGCTACTCTGAGCCAGGCACCATGTAGACACTGGGGATAAAAGATAAGTCTTGAATTATAGACACAGCTTAATAGGGGTGGCAAGTGAACAGATGATTGCCCCGACATAAGCAAGTGTCACCAGGTAGGGAAACAGGGTTTCTGTGGAGGCACAAAGGGGGCAGCTAACCTGCCTGGAGAACAGCATTGGGGTGTAGAGGGTTGCATAGAGAATCCCAAAAGTAACATCTCGACTGAGTGCTCTGATTATGATCAAAGTTTGGGCACTTTGGCCCTGGCCTCTGTTATTTTGCTAACCAGAGCCAGCTGTGTTGTGGCTGCCTTTTTCCCCATCCTGGTGTCTCTGCTTGGTCCCTTCACTCACTGCCTCCCACGCCCTGGCATGACACAGGCATTTTCAGCCCTTTCCCAGGAATCTATTTAGAGCCAGCATCTTGTGCAGCTCATGAGGAGTCACAAGCCCATGATGAGATAAGAGGAGGAACTTGGAAGAAAACACATGGACAAAGCCAAGGGGAAAATATACATGTTTTCATTTGCTTTCCCCAAACAGGATGCTTTCACACCATTTTCTATAATCCAAACAGTATGCTTCTCCTTAACATACTGTGAAGATGTAAGGCCACATGAGCTGTGTCTTTCGGAGATGGAGTTAGTGCCCCTCCTGGCATTCCTTCAGCGCCTTTGCTCCCATATTTTATAGTGTCTCTCAAGCCCTACCCCATCTCTTGTCTGTCTGTGTTCTCCATAGACCCCTAGGATTCTTCTAGAGTAGTGACCAGCCTTGCTTGAGCTTGTATGGCATATACCCTGTGCACAGCAAATGCTCCATAAATAATCACTTAACTGAATTTAACAGAATAAAGCAACATAAGTACTAGTTTAGGCAAATTTCAAAACATCTGAGGTCCATCTCTCATTTTAGAAGGCTGGAAAAAATTGTTTTCAATTTTAATTGATTATTTCTAAGAAAACATAAAATTGTTCCCACAATGTTCAAATAAATATTCACCAGTGACACTTACAGCCTGATTTGATGGGCTGCAGAGGGGTGCAGGTTGAGTGCATCATAAAAAACCCGTTTCATTGCCCTCTAACTTGTGGTTGTTTATGAAAAAGGAGCATAAGATATAGAAGAGGGAAAAATGCTTTGAAAGCTCTAAAGTGGATTGCAGATGTTAGTTTGTTTTCACATAAATGACACAGAAACTGCCCATGCATTCAGTAACTGGCAGACTGGAGCAAACATCCATGTTTGGATGGGACCGAAGAATGGTGGGAAGGGAGAACTGTTACTTGTTGCACAGAGCATCTAATTGTTCTGGACTTGGCCAGGATGCAGATGGTTTTCCATCACTGGAATTGGTCAGGGACAGTGGCAGAAGCGCCAGTGCTTTCACTTAATCAAAGATGAAGGGTTTCAAGAAATCCTTGAACAATAACACTATGCAGGTATCTACTTGGGGAAGTCAACTCTTGATTTTTTTTTAAAAAATTCAAATCAAACAAGTGACGGTGCCACATCCCGGTGCCATTTCATAGCATTTCAGACTTCTCAGGAGCAGCTGATGCCAGTTGTCTTCTCTGGCATGAATTGCTAGCCGTGGCTTTGCAATGGTCCAGGGAGACTGCGGTTCTCCAGGAGACTTGCAATTACTGCTAAATATTCTTTAAAAAAAAATAAATTCATTTTAATTTTAATCTACATATTCCAGCCAGTACCTTTAAAAGATGTCTGGACTTTGAAATGACATGGCCAATGATAATATATTACAACTCTGAGACACAGCTGTAAATTCTCAGAATAAGAGGCTGATGGTACTGCTGTCCAATGCTGGTACCTTGGCCAGCTGTGAGGGTTAGCCGATTCTTATCTCTCTGTGTGGCTGTAAAAAATGTTGTAGGTCCAAGATGGTAAGGTATTATTTCATAAAGCCTTAGTCTAATGAGTTCTAGTAATTCTTGATCTTTCTCAAATAAATACTGGTCAAATCTTCCCCAGTAACAAAGTAACTAAGAATCCACATTCTACAGTTGTATTGTAATTTTAATATGAGAAATTTCTTTCCTGGTCTCCAGAATCTAGAAAGTAAGCATATAACCAACAATTGGGACTGTTAGGCCTATGGTAGGGGAGTCAGATGTTCTGCCTGTCTCCGTCCTAACCTCTCCACTTCAAATTTCTTACTCTTTTCTCTTTTGCTTAAATGTATCTTGGTGTGTTGCCTGGGAGTTTATGTGTGTTATCATAACAGAAGAAGGAATTATGTAAAACAAAGCCCAACTTTCATTTCTTTTTCCTTGCAGTCCTACAATAACTTAAACAAAATTTCACCATATTCTTCCATTGTGGTAGAATGGCTATTGAAAAGAAAAGCTATAGAAAAAAAAATTTTCAGGGAACACTGGGAAACTAACACATCGTGATACCTAACAGGATGCTATAAGTAGGAGTCAAACCCAGGAACATGGAAATTGCTGATTTAAATTTCTTTTTTTTTTTTTTTTCAATTTAAAAGGAATACATTCACATAGTTAAAAAATCAAACAGTAAAGAAAAATACAAAACAAGAAGTAAAATTTCTCTTCTCCAGTGTTCTACATAACTCCTGAAGGCCACTGTGAAGAGAAACATTGTTAGCCATGTGCTGTGCATCTTTCTATGCGTATTATAAAGACATCACAAGCACCACATGCTTTCTTTCCCTACAAGCTCAATTTGATTTTTTTCCTTATGTCTTGAGCATCTTTACATATTAGTAAACCTGTAAACCCCAGTTTTAAAAAATGATCAAAAGCTTCATAGTATTCCATTGAGTATCATTATTTGTGTGTTTTTGTTTTTGTTGTTTTGTTTTTTGGTGGCTGGCCAGTACGGGGATCAAACCCTGAACCTTGGTGTTATCAGCACCACATTCCCTCATTATTTGTTTATACAATCTCTTCTTGGTCGACATCTGGATTGTTTTTAGATGGTTACTACTGCAAACAATGTTTCAATGAACTTTTGTAAATATATATTTGCACACATAGGACAATAAATTATATCTGCCCAGTAAATTTCTAAAAGGAGAACGACTAATTCTGACATTATATGCATTTATATCTTAATAATTATC